GCATCTGATCAGACTTTTCCAGCTAACAGCTGTTTCCTCACTGGAAACCAGCGCTGATCTGTGAAGGTCAGACAAGATTCTGGAGGATAAATGTCAGGCTGTTGACGTCTGGATGGGTTTCATCTTCTCAGAAACTTTAGCTTAACCTATTTTATAGTAGTTTAACTGCTGCCTGCGGAGTCTGAGGAGGAGAATGAGGACGCACCAACGGGACCTTCCCATCAGGCATCAGGGCTTGCTGGATCTGCTCCCTGGATCCTTTGTAGATGATGTCCCGGACCTGACCCTGAAAAAGAACCTCCCCTCATCAGCTGATCAACGTCACAGTGGCTAGAGATACGGTGCAGAGATTGTCCAGAGTTACCTTTGGGTCGGTCAGGTAGACTCCGTGATCGGCTGCGTATGAGACATCGCCTGGTAGTGCCAGAACCCGAACTCCTGAGAATCCATCCCAGGACAACACTGGGACATAACAGGTTCAGTCATTAGCAGCAAAGCGGGCTGGTTTAGAGTCAGCCATAATAAATCAAACAAAGTACCACCAATCAGTTTGTTTATTTTAAAAACAGAGAATTAAGTCTCACATTTGAGACAATAAACCCAGAAGAAAGCCGACAAAGGTTCATCGTTCAGTCAGGGTAACTTTGGTCCTCCTTGGTTCAATTCCATTCAATTATACTTTATTATTTCCCAAATAGATATTCAGTTTCGGTACATTAGGGCATTTATTGAAGGATGCTAACATTAGCCTACCTTGTTATCGCCAAATGCTACCGTTAGTCCCCCTTTTCTATCATTATGCAAACCTAAGCCCACAATGCCATCACCATGCTAACATTAGTCCACCTTGCTATAATCATGCTAACATTAGTCCACCTTGCTATAATAATGCTAACATTAGTGCACCTTGCTATAATCACGCTACCATTAGCCCGCCTTTGCTATCATCATGCTAACATTAGCCTGCCTTGCTATAACCACATCGCTATTTACCTGCCTTGCTGTAGCCATGCTACCATTAGCCAACCGTTGCTATCATCATGCTAACATTAGCCTGCCTTGCTATAACCATGTCACTATTTACCTGCCTTGATATAACCATGCTACCAGTAGTCCGTCTTTGCTATCATTATGCTAACATAAACCCAGCTTGCTATCACCATGCTAGCATTATTGCGCATTGCTTTCACCATCCTACCATTAGTCCACCTTGCCATTGCCATGTTACCATTAGCCCATTTTGCTATCATCATGCTGACTTTAGCATGCTTTGCTATTATCATGTTAACACTAGCCCATCTTGCTTTCACATGCTAACATTAGCCAGTCTTGCTATCATCATGCTAACTTTATCCAACATTGCTATCACCATGCTACCATTAGTCCACCTTTGCTATCATTATGCTAAAATAAGCACACCTTGTTATGAACATGCTTACATTAGCCTGGCATGCTATCATTATTCTACCATTAGATCCAATCGCTATCATTGTGCTAACTACATTGTGCTTGCTATCACCATGCTTCCATTAGCCGACCTTGCTATTACTGTGGAACAATTAGCCCACTTTGCTATCACCATGCTACCATTAGTCCACCTTTGCTATCATTATGCTAATATAAGCACACCTTGTTATCAACATGCTAACATTAGCCTGGCATGCTATCATTATTCCACCGTTAGATCCAATCATTATCATCATGCAAACTACATTGTGCTTGCTTTCACCATGCTGCCATTAGCCCACGTTGCTGTCATCATGCCAACTTTACCCTACCTTGCTATCATCATGCTAGCACTAACCTGTCTTGTTTTCACCATGCTTACATTAACCCACCTTGCTATCACCATGCTAACATTAGCCCACCATGCTATCACCATGCTAACATTAGCCCACCATGCTATCACCATGCTAACATTAGCCCACCATGAACATATATACCTTCATGATTAAAAAGGGGGGAATTAAACGGGGTCAGAACTACCTCTTTTTAATTGTTTTCCGAAATATTATAAAACTTTCATTTAAAAACAATTTCAGGGCCGTATAAATGAAATACCAGGTTACGACACCTTTAACATTTCTGATGTGTCTGGCGTTTTATTCAGACGGCTCTCAGATACTGTTAATGTTTATGTGTCATTTTCTGGCTATTTCCTGAGATCCTTTTCAGGACAATCTGCATTTAAGGGATTTTATATTTTCTACCATTGCTTTTAAAGTATCATTTGTGTCCCCATTATGCCAGAAGTTTTTGCAGAACGTGGTAATGCTTTCTTAATCCACTAAAGTCTCTTCTTCCTGAAACAATGGTCCAAACATTGGCACTTCCACTCTTCATACTTCTACTTCCCACTGATGGGGACGAGTGTACAGTGAGTGTGTCGCAATTCTCCAGAGCGGCATTTGGCTCCGCCCCCTATGCGCCCTGGATCATCACTTTGGCTAAGCGTTTATCTGAACTCACTTTGGTGAAGCAACATATTACCTGTAACTGATTGATGCATGGGACGTTTTGATCAAAAAGGCAGATTTATGGCGATGACCCACCTCCTGTGTCTCTTTGTTTGATTTAAACAACAGACAATTATTTGATAAAAACAGTGATAAATTCTCAGTTATGATGGTGCCCTTGAGATCATGTGATCTAGGACTAAGCACACACTTCAGAAGGGTATAAGTATTGAGACAGGGCCAATGTCTGCTTTTAGAGTGCTGTAATTACACGATACAGCCAGTAGGGGGTGGTTCAGCTTCGTAACTGAGATCAGAACATCGGGGCTCATCTTTCACACTAACCAAAGTCTGCTGGAACGGTGAGGATCATGTCGGTGCTGCAGACCCAGACTCCAGGAGGAGAACCCGGACAGATCTGAAAGCCAAACATGATTCATCACCATACAGAACCGTGTGGGACCAGAGTGACGTTATAGTGTGGTTTCACTGGGGAAGACCTGGGTGCTGAGCCGGTCCAGCAGCAGATCCAGAACACAGAGCGGGGCCTGGACCTTCTGCCCGCGCTTCTCTTCAGGCAGCCAGCAGAAAGCTCGGCTGCAGGAGCTCCAGGGAAAATCCCGACCCTGAGAGGAGAACCAGTCATCAACAACAAGGAGACACCAGAACCTCAGATCCAACTCAGCTCTGGACTCACTGTGTGGAGGATGAGGATGTGAGCTTCATCCAGGACGTCAGCTGTCACCACCTGGGAGCAAACAGGCAGCATGAGGGGAGAATAACCAACCCAACTTATCCTGCTGTCGTACCAAATAAACCATGGCTCCTATCAAAGATTTTAAATCAAATCTTTAACATCTTTGCATATATTAGTTCTGGTTACAAATGTCTCCATATCAGCCCTGGAATGATAACAAAATAAACAAGAAAAAGACCTAAAATTTTGAAAATGTAAACGTGAAATATTACTTTTGTTTATCTACAGTTAAGCTTTGCTTGTTTAGCATCTTAAAAATATAATAAAGGTGGTAAATAAGAACCAGAAGTAAATATTTTTATATAGGGATGCACGATATTGGGATTTTGGCCGATATCCGATATGCCGATATTTTGGAACTCATGTAGCCGATAACCGATATCGATACCGATGTTAAAGCTAGACAAAAATAATTAGTCATTGAAAATAGCAGTTTTGTTATCCATTTCTGATACTTTGAAAAATAATATACTCAAATATATTTTCATATGCTGATATCAAATTGATTTTTAAAAACGCGGTATCGATCTATTTTACTTTCAAAATCTGGCGAAATTTCATCGTTCTGTTTTAAACTCTCGTGATATTTTGCAAATTCTTTGTTTTGTTAGTAAAA